CCAGTTTCTACCTTTGGAAATAGCATATCTATAGATAATATTAAAAATATATCTAAACATGAAATTCTTTGTCCAAAAAATGAGCACATTCAAAAATTAAATGAAGAAATTTGGGATATACTCGATGGAGATTTTCACACATATTTGAGTGATGATTCCATTGATTCCACAGATGATGCTGAAAAGGAAAATTTTGCCATCGAATTTCTTAATAGTATTACTCCTTCAGGAATGACTCCTTCGTATCATAAATTAAAATTCAAAGATGGTGCAATCATCATGCTATCGAGAAATCTCAATAGTCAATGGAGTCTTTGTAATGGTACCAGATTTATTATCAAAAGATTATGACCTAACATTATCGAAGCTGAAGTAATTAACAGGATCTGCAGGGGAGAGGTTGTTCTGATTCCAAGAATTGATTTGTCCTCATCTCTACTAGCCTCCCATTTAAATTAATTCGACGGCAGTTTCCCGTGATGCCAGCATTTGCGATGATTATTAATAAATCACAAGGACAAGCTAGACAGAGTAGGAATATTCCTATCTGAACCCGTTTTCACACATGGTCAGTTATATGTTGCTTTCTCTCGAGTTTGAAGAGCATGTGACGTTACAGTTAAAGTTCTAAATACTTCATCACAGGGAAATTAGTCAAGCACTCTGAAAGTGTTTTCACTCTTAATGTGGTGTACAAGGAGATATTAGAATAAGTTGAATCACTTTATCAGTCATTGTTTGCATCACTTATTTTTAAATCATGTTTTTGTTGTTTTTATATCATGTTTTTGTTGTTTTCATATCATATTTTTGTCATTTTTATATCATGCCTCTGTTGCTGTTATATCCTTTTGTTACTGTTTATTAATAAATTTATATATTATTTTCATATACATTTTACTAATTTCCTTTCATCTCTCACACTTCTATTATAGAGAAAGGGCAAATAGCAATATTAAAATATTTCTGCTAAGTAAATACCTTTTAATGTGCATGAATTTCGTGCACCACGCTACTAGTATATATAAAATCTTATATCTTACACTTGGGAATCTAGGTAGACCAGATAGAAAATGAAGTTAATTTTTTTATTATCATGGACAATAAAATAGTCATGGTTAAATTTTATTTATTTATTTAAAATATATTTTTTATTGACCTTTTACAGAGAGGAAGGGAGAGGGATAGTCAGAAACATTGATGAGAGAGAAACATCGATCAGCTGCCTTCTGCACACCTCCTACTGGGGATGTGCCCACATCCGAGGTACATGCCCTTGACTGGAATCAAACCTTGGACCCTTTAGTCCGTAGGCCGACGCTCTGTCCACTGAGCCAAACCAGTTAGGGCAGTCATGGTTAAATTTTAAATCTATTTAACTTAAGCCTTCAATACTGAAATTGTTTCCTATCCTATATAATAAAACACTAATATGCAAATCGACTGAACAGCAGAATGACTGGTCACTATGATGCGCACTGACCACCAAGGGGCAGACACTCACCGCAGGAACTGATCCCTAGTGGTCAGTGCGCTTCTGCAGGGGGAGTGCCGCTCAGCCAGAAGCCGGACTCACGGCGAGCACAATGGTGGTGACAGGAGCCTCTCCTGCCTCACAGCAGCGATAAGGAGCAGCAAGCCTGGCTTCTCGCTGAGCGGCACTCCATGTGGGAGCGCCGCTCAGCCAGAAGCCGGGCTCACGGCTGGCAAATGCAGTGGTGGTGGTGGGAGCCTCTCTCACCTCTGCTGCAGGCGGGCAGTAAGGAGCAAGGGGTCCCAGACTGGGAGAGTCCTGGACTGTGAGAGGGAGTCTGAGTGCCGGCTTAGGCCCGATCCCTGTGCACTGGGCGTCTAGTTGATACTATAACATATTACCACAAACTCAGTGTCTTAAAACAATACAAGTTTATTATCTTAAATATCTTTAGATCAGAAGCCTGACATAAGTCTCAACAAGCTTAAATGAAGGTGTCAAAAGTAATTTCTTTTTTGGAGCCTCTAGGGCAGGGGTAGGGAACCCTTTATCTGCAAAGGGCCATTTGGATATTTATAACATCACTAGAGGCCCAGTGCATGAAATTCGTGCACTGGTAAGGTCCCTAGTGGCTAGTGGGAGCTGGCCGGGGTACTCCCTTTCTTCTCCTGGCTGCCCCGCTCCCTGGTCAAATTCCTAAAAGAACTCCTGGTTGAGGGGACAATTTGCATACTAAGTTTTTATTATATAGGATTTGTGGGCCATACAAAATTATCAACTTAAAAATTAACCTGCTATATTTGGTCAAACATTTAACTCACCCCTAATGCCTTGGCAGGGCCTTATATGTTCTTCTAGCTGGATATTCCCCACCCCTGCTCTAGGGAAGTTTCATTTCCTTTCTCACTCAGGCTTTGACAGAATTTAGTTCTTGTGGTTTAAGTCTATTTCCCTGCTGACTGTTGGGTAAAGGCTGTCCTTAACTCCTAGTGGAATCTCTGGGTTCTTGCACATAATCCCCTATATCTCAGAACAAGCAAAGGGTATTAGATCCTTCTTATGCTGTCATCTCTCTAACTTCTTTTGGCTTTTGATTCCATTCTTAAAAACAAAGGTGATTAGATTGGGCATACATGGACCATTCAGGATAATTTCTCCTTAACTTTACCTTTGCAAAGTCCATTTTGTCATTTGAGATATTTTTAGGTTTTGGGCAATTAGAGCACAGACATCCTTGGAGAGGGGAGCATGGCATTATTTTACCTAGCACTAACATTTTATGTCCCATAATCATAATTGATAAATTACATGACACCTTAGAAAATATTTCCATTTCCTATGTTAGGCATTTAGGAGGGTATTATTCATATTTCCTCCTTATAATTTTGGGTTTTCTCCTAAAAGACAATTCTGAATGATTGATGATCACTATTTCTAATGTTGATGCCTTTTATTTCCTTTTCTTTACTAAATAGTCTGGCAAGGACTTCTGATACCATGTTCAATAAAAGTGGTGAAAGTGGGCATCCTTGTCTTGTTCCTCATCTTAGAGGAAAAGCTTTTAGTATGTATGATGTTAACTGGGGTCATGTCATATATAGCATTTATTATGTTGAGGAATGTTTTCTCTGTACTAACTTTGTTGAGAGTTCACCATAAATGGATGTTGAATTTTGTCATAGGCCTTTTCTGCTTCTGTTGAGATGTTCATATGCTTTTTATCCTTTATTTTGTTAATGTGGTAGATCACATTGATTGATTTGTGGATAATTGAATCATCTTTACATCTTTAGAATGAATCCTACTTTATCATGGTGTATAATCTTAATGTATTGTTGAATTCACTTTGCTAATATTTTAGTGAAAAATTTTTGCATCGATGTTCATCAGGGATACTGCTTATAATTTTTATTTCTTGTGGCATCCTTGTGTGGTTTTGATATCAGGGGAATGCTGGCCTCTCAAAATGAGTTGAAAGTTTTCCCCCCCACTTCAGCTTTTTTCAGTTTGATAAGTATTTGGTGCTAATTCTTCTCTGATGTTTGGTAGAATTCACCAGTGAAGTAGTCTGTCCTGGGCTTTTGTTTGTTGGGAGGTTTTTGACTGTTGATTGAGTCTCCTTATTAGTAATTGGTTTACTATTTTATGTTTCTTTTTTAAAATATATTTTTGTTGATTTAAGAGAGGAAGGGGAAGAGAGATAGAAACAGCAATGATGAAAATCATTGATCAGTTGCCTCCTGCATGACCCCTACTGTGGATCAAACCAACAACCCAGGGATGTGCCCTGACCAGGAATCAAACCATAACCTCCTGTTCATAGGTTGCCGTTCAACCACTGAGCAACACCAGTCGGGCTATTTTCTGTTTCTTGATGATTTAGATTTGGAAGATTGTATATTTCTGGGAATTTATCCATTTCTTCTATGTGTCCTGTTTGGTGGTGTATAATTTTTCATGAATACGAAGTCTCATGATCCTTTGTATTTATGAGCTATCTCTTATAATGTCTCTTTTATTTTACTTTTTTGAGTTCTCTCTTTTCTTCTTGGTGAATCTAGCTAAAGGTTTGCCAGTTTAATCTATTTAAATTTGGAGGATTCTGTGGAATATGTTGCATTTTTTCCTCAAGAGTAGTATGATTGTTTTAATCCTTTCAGAATCTAGATGTTAATTTCTTACAGCATAAGTAATTTGGTGATGATAATTTTATGGGCTTTACATATAATACGCTTTTCTAGCAGGTTCCCACTTAATAGATTTTGAATAGAAGCAATAATACAACTAGTAATATCTGATTATGTGGCATAGGGTTTATTTTAATCTATATTAATATACAGGAAAACTTAGTTTCTCATAACACCCTACTTGATTTCTTCTCAACAGTTAGGTTTTCTGGGAGTCTGATAAATTTTTTTTGAAGCTATTTCAGTAGCTTAGGACCAGAATTCTCTTCATATCTTTTCATTGTTCGTATTAGCCATTATACTTTTTTAACTGATTGCTACTTTTTTTTTAACCTTACTTTCTAACTAGGTTTGGCAGGATAGAGTTTTTGGCATTTTGCATAAGAGAAAGGAAAGAAATTGTGAGGAGAATTATATTTTTAGAGTTTAAAATAAAGGACAATAGACCTGACCTGGGTAAGATAGAATCCAAAGCTCTGAACTGATATAGGAAATTCTTCTTTTCCAATTGTATGTTTAATAGCATTGCTTGCATTTATTCTCACTTAGTTTTACTATGAAAGAATAATTTTAAAAATTATTTTTAGATGTAAACGAAAAGCCAGTTTATTTGATTACAACACTAGATAACACAATGGAAGATCTGTTAACACTGGAGTATGTGAAGGTAAGCAGTACCATTTATACCTGCCTGTTGTGGTAAATGTGCAGCTGAAATGTTAAATCAAATTTTGTAAGTTTAGTGATACTCAGTTTAATCATGATTCTGTTGGAATCCCTATAATGCTTAAAACTTTGAGTTTTTTGTTTTGTGCTCTATTAAATAGAACACTTCATATAGCGAATGAGAAGTCTTCGTCTAAGTAGAAATAACCTACAGTTTTTTCCCCCATCAGGGTATCAAAAAGAAAGAAACTCTTTAGTTTTTATCCTATTTATTGTGATATATGATGTGAGATGAAGATTTCACTTCATCTCACATCATGTATTTCCTACAATTTGTCTGAAATTACCTAATTTTCCTGGTGTCAGTGACTCCTGGTGTCATCTCTTTTCTATTGACTTACGATATCCATTTTATCATGTGTGTTTTTATATATACTGTGGTATACTTATGATTTAGTCCATGTTTTCATTGACCTATTTTTATGTAAGTGCCACATTATTTTAGTAATTACTTCATAGTAAGATAATGCTAAAAGAGTAATTAACACAGAATGTTTAGATAGTTAGTGGACAATTCTGTCACAAATTTTGTTTTCACATACAGGAAGAATCTTACATAGTTGTTGATGACAATGATTGTTCTCCATACTTGATAATATTTGATTTTTTACTCTTGATAACTTAATACTTGCCATCTGCCAAATTTCTTTTGCTCTGTGGAAGCAGTTGTTCATTTAGATAATTATACATATAAATAGCTGGAAGTTTTTTTTTTTTTTTTTTTTTTTTTACAATCAGCTGCCTCCTGCACATCTCCCACTGGGGATGTGCCTGCAACCCAGGTACATGCCCTTGACCGGAACCGAACCTGGGACCCTTAAGTCCACAAGCCGACGCTCTATCCACTGAGCCAAACCGGTTTTGGCTGGAAGTTTTTTATACATGTCTATTAGGACCATTATATACTTGTATTTACATATGTTTTTTAAAGATTTCTAACAGATTTCTTTTATTCTCTTTGGGTAGGCTGAAAAGAATGTACCCAACTTGAGAAGTTCCTATAATAATGTTGAACAACTGATTAAGGTATAAGTGAATAATAATTTTTTAATTAGGTACAGTATTTCTAAGTGAATAATATATTATGAAATTTATATTATAGCTAGAACTCTAAGATCCTTGAGGATAAAAATGGAATATTATAAATTGGATCCTTTGTACCACAAAGCCTAGTGCCTTATAATAGAGCAGTCAAATAAATATTAACATAGTACTAAAATCAACTTTGTTCTTTAGGTGAATTTTTCCTCTTTGGATATTCATTTGCATACGGAAGCACTTCTGAATACAATAAACTATTTTAATAATTTCATTCCACAATTGGAGGAAAAGTCAGCCTCGTTGCATGTTGCGGAGACAGAAGACAAAGGAGAGGTCATTAAAAAAATAGGTATGTTTCTTTAAAATTCTTCTTTTTTTGTAACCAAGTAGATTAATAAATTTATCTTTGGCTCTGTTAACTTACAATATTGTCTTCAGAATTTTATTGCCTAACTTATAAATCTAGAAAGATTCATTATATACCAGGCTAATTTTAGAAAATAATAGTAAAGGAAAATGATTACTGCTGAAGAAAATGTGGTTTTTATTTATTCTATCATTCTTTTAAGTTGAAGATTATACTATAGAAGTATTTGATTTATATTAAAATTCATGCATTTAATATCATTACTTTAAATTAAAAAAATAGAGCTAATAATTTTTGAGTAATATCAGTGTATATTTTTAAATTAGAGTACTTTTTAAGCTGGGAAACTTTGCAAGTTTAATAATGACAGGTATCACCTAGTAATTATTAACTCTAAAAAGATTTATTATTTTGTAGTCAGCAATCCTAGTTTCAAATGTTAACCTCATCTAGCATCCTTTTTTGTGTGTGTGTCTGTTTGCTTTTGTTTGGCTTTTTGTTTTCATTAGATTTTATTGTTTTTTTTAGAATTCCTAATTTATAAGGGAATTTCTTGCTTGTTTTCAATTGAATTGCAAATCAGGTTTTTCTCTAGCATTACTTTTATTTGTTATGATATTTTACTTAAGTATAGCGAGGTAGATATAAGTTTTTCCTTACGTTTTACAATATGACTTTATTGCAGCTTCAAGACGATACAGGCATGAAGATATTACCTTGCAGATCTTAGCAGAATTATCATGTTTACAGATCTTTATTCAAGATCAGAAACATAACATTGCTGAAATTAAGATTGAAGGTAATAAAATTTCAGAAAAATAAATCCAAAACTATTACATGAAAGAAAAGTCATTTAACCATTCTTTTATTTTCGTAGGGCTTGATTCTGAGATAATTATGAGGCCTTCAGTAACTGAAGTAAATGCAAAGCTAAGAAATATAATTGTTTTGGATTCTGATATAACAGCTGTATATAAAAAGGTATGAATTTATTTCTATTAACAGTACATTTTTGAATTTAATTTTCTTTAATTAGTCATGGGTATAAATTAGTTGTCTTATTTTAGCTGTGTGGCTTATTATGTCTTTGGTTTTGGACTTAAGCATAATTGGGTTCTTATCTCGACTCCTAATCCTGAATTCTGTTTTGTTTATATATAAAACTAGAGGACTGGTGCATGAAATTCATGCACTCGGCAGGGGAAAGGGTTCCCTCAGCCTGGCCTGTACCCTCTCACAGTCCTGGAGCCCTGCGATCTATCGTTCAAAAGAGGTGGGCCCCACCCAGTTGGGGCTCCGGGATAGATTGCCCCCACAGAGGGAGGCCCCACCCACCCCAGCCAATTAGCCTGGGTCTCCCTCTTTGGGACAATCGATCGCGGGGCTCTGCCGTTGATAGCCCCAAAGAGGTAGGCCCTGCCTATCCAGTCAGGGCTCTGCAATGAATCGCCCCCACAGAGGGAGACCCCGCCCATCAGCTGTAGCACTGCCAGTCAGTGGCCTGGGCCTCCCTCTTTGGGGCGATCATGGAGTCCCCCAGATTGATCAATCGCCCTACTGGCCGGTGGCCGGGGCCTCCCTCTGCAGGGCGATCATGGGGCAATAGGAGGGCCCCCGACCAATGGCATTGCACCTGCCTTGGCTGGCCTGGCACCAATGGGTGCCATAGCGTGGTCATCTGGAAGGTCGTCTGGATGGTCGTTCTGCTGTTCAGTCATTTGGTCTATTTGCATATTATGCTTTTATTATCATAGATGAGGATTAAGTATCTTATAAATGAGGTAAATATAAGTAATCACTCCTAGAGCATAGTTGCAGGGGAATGGGGGCAGGGCTGTGGAGGGATGGGTAAGTAGTAAATGCCCTTTTCACTTTTTCTTTTTCTTTCTCTCTTCAAATACTATGAACTTTGTAATGCATTTCAGATTTCACGGGCAGAGTGTCTGAAGTCATATCGAATGAATGAGATTTTTAAAAAGTTTATTTTCATCACTGCTTACTGGTGTAGCTGTTACAGTGTTAAGAGTCCATTGAACTGGATGGCTAGTAGTTGAAGGATGGGTATTTTGTTATTGGCTATAAGACTGTAAGGTTCTTGAATTAGATACTGTTGTGTAGTTGGACACATAATTTTTGAACAGTGGAGCATTCAGGTAAGATGGTGTATTTAAGGTAGTGAAGAGTATCAAATAATAGTAGGATAAGAAAAGGCTGAGGTACTTGGTTGGGAAGTCAGAGTTTGGAGTGTGACAGGAAGAAAGGAAATAGATAAATAGGTTTAGCCAATAATACTGATGAGATACTGTGATGACCTGATTTTTATATTAAACAAAAGTCCTCATTCCTTATATTTTCTTACTAAAGCTTGCTAGCATGAGATAACAGGAGTTCCAAAACAGCAAAGATACATGACTCATAAGAATGAGGCGTGGTTAGCTTCTGTTGCTTTTGTTTTAAAAATCATAGTAGTTAGAGCTTTGAAGAAGACATCCATTTTATTTGCCCTATTTGGAAAGTAAAGCTCAAATAAATGCATTTATTAAAAGTCATACAAGAAGTTAGAAATGGAACCGACATTATCACTCATGCCCTTTTTCTTCTTTTTCTCTGTAATTTTATTTTTAATGCATCTATAAGGTTAAAAATCCAACTTACAAAAAAGCCCGCTAGTGAAAGTTTCTCACTTCTATCTTTTTGCCCAACTTCTGTTTTCCTCTCCTTATTCCTTGACTTTGATTCTGATGTAAATGACTTTTAAACAATCTACCTGGTTCTGTAGGTCATTACATGTCAGAGAACCAGAAGGACAAAGCTTTTTGCACTAGATCACAGCTTCCTAGGTAACTGAGGTTGCTGTCAGATTCAGAAACAAATATGGGACCGGGGGCCATGGCAGGGGCCAGGCGGGGGTGCGGAGGATGGACCGAGACCTGCCCCTGTGCCCACCTCAGCCTCTCGGCCCACAGTTCCTTTTAAGGTGCATGAATTCGTGCTTTGGTCCCTAGTATTTAAATAAGAGTTTTGGCTATGTTCCAATAACATTTTAATTTATCCTATCTAATAAAGAGGGAATATGCTAATTGATCCTCATGCCGTCACCTAGATATTGGTGCCCACAGCCAATAAGGAGGGAATATGCTAATTGACTGCCCCACCATCAAATATGGCAGTGCCCACAACCACAAGATGGTGGTGCCCAGTCCCCTCAGCCCTGCTGGGGCAGCAGGTGTGTGGCAAGACCGGGCCCACCCCATGCACCTGCCTCTGGAGTCCCCCAGTCCCCTCAGCCCCCAGTCACTCAGGGCCAGCCCGAGGTGCAGGCAAGCCTTGGATGGCAGCAGCCCAGCTGCCCAGGGCTGCCTGAGACTCAAGTAACCAGGGCCAGCCAAGGCTTGCGCCATTGGCAGTGGCAGCAGCAGAGGTGTGATGGGGCATAGCCTTCCCCTGATCGCTGAGTCGCCTCCCACCCCTGAGGGCTCCTGGACTGTGAGAGGGGGCAGGCTGGGCCGAGGGACCCCCCCCTCCAGTGCATATATTTCATGCACCGGGCCTCTAGTTGGATAATATAATTTTGATATATCACAAAATATTTTTTGATATTTTCAACTTCTTAAGAGCGTGAAAAACATTTTTACTAAATCCTACTGATTGTAGTTGTTTAACTTACCAATATTATGGGAAGGGATATTATTTTTTCCTTACTGATTTGTAGGAATTATTTACTATTTTGCATATTATTTCTTGATTCAAATACTATTTTCTTATTATGATGTCTTTTGATGAACAAAGTTCTTAATTTTAATAAAATAAAATTTATCATTTCTTACCTTCTTGGTTTGAGAATTTTGTGTTTTCTAAACCATTCCATTCCTTGAGTTCATAAAGGTATTACTCTATGTGATTTTTCTAAAAGTTAGATAATTTTGCCTTAAACTTTTAGGTCTTTAATTCTACTTAGAATTTTTTTTAAATATGGTTAAGGCTATAATTTCACTTTTTCCACACTGAATTTCCTAGTACCATATATTGACATAGCCGTCTTTTTCTCACTCATCTATAGTATACTATGACCATTAAATATTAGATGTAGATATGTGAATAGATTTGTTTCTGAGCTCTCTTTTATTGTTTATCCTTGTATCAGGAGCAAATATATAGTATTAATTTGATGCTGGATACTGTTCTAAGTGCTTTATAAATGTTATTTAATCTCCCAGTAATTGTTCTTCATTTTAGCTCATGTATCCTTCATTTCCGACTGGTTCTTTTTTATGGTTTTCATGCCTTTTTTTTTTTTTAATGCTGTTGAAGTTCCGCTAAGTTCATTTTGCATCCTTATAACCAGTATTTTGAATTCTGCATCTAGTAGATTGTCTCCATGTTGTTTAGTTCTTTTTCTGGAGTTATGTTCTGTTTTGTCATTTGAGATATGTTTCCTTGTCTCATTATGATAGCCTCCCTGTGTTTGTTTCTGTGTATCAGGTAGAGAGCTGTTATGTGTCCCGGGCTTGGTAGAATGGTCTTATGTTGTAAGTTTTCTCTAGGGCCAGGGTTACAGCCTTCCTGATACCCACACTGGGCACTGGGGTCACCTAGGAAGTACAGGCCCAGATCTGTTGCTGCCTATGTTCCGCCCAGGGCCTCCCAGCATGAGCTACAAAGTGGTCTGCAGATGGATGCTAATTTTAATGGGCTTGGAGGTGCCCAGGTAAAGCCAAACTGCAAACCAAGGTTGGCTGCTCCTAGCGCCAGCTTTGGGGTCCATTAGCAAGAAGTATGGGGCACCTGGAGGCCAGTTGCTGCTTGTTTCAGATTGTAGGAAAGTCTGAAGCACAAGCCAAGACAGGCCATTCATATGGGAAAGCCACTGGAAACATCTTGGATGGGGCCCTAAGTTGCATGGGGCAGGGTCTCAGAGAATTATGCAGGTGAGCTGCACAAGGTGAGCCAGGTTGATGAATTCTCAGATGGCACCTGCCTGCCCAGCTCTGTGTATGATGTGTGTCAGAAAAAGAACAATGGTCTCTGCCAGCACTTTTTTTCTGGTAGAAACCTGCCCCTCCAGTTCTCACCCTGTTGTCAGTCAATTCAGTTCCTCCTGCTAGTCCTTGGTGCCTTTTGAGCTGCTGCATCAGTGCTGGAGCTCAGAAGGAGCAAGTCTGAGTAAGTCCTTCAAGAGGAACTGTCTGGGACTCCAGAAGCCCTCCATCACACCCAGCCACAATCTCTGCTGTTTTTACACCCAGAAGTTATGGGTTCTGGTGTGAGACTGGGACCCCTCGCTCCTCAGGAAATTTCTGTAGCTGAGATATTCCTCCCAATTTTTATCCTTCCTACATGGGTGTGGGACCAACCCCTTCAACCCCTTAGCCAGTCTCAATGTGGCTTTAAATCCTTAGTTGTAGGACTTCCATTTAGCTATATTTCAGATAGTTCTGAATGATGGTTGTTCGGTAGTATCATTGTAATTTTGATGTGGTTGTGGGAGGATGCGAGTACTGTGTTTATCTACGCTGCCATCTCTGGAAGCTAGCTCCACCATTTTCACTGGTATTGCAAAATGTGTGACTTTAATCTGTAGGTAATTTTTGGTTTGCAATTGAGATGACTTCAGAAAACTAATAAGGAATAGAAAATTTCATTAAGTTGTAGAGGTACAGAGTTTTCCCAAGTTTGATAGTGACCAAAAGTTCATTTATATGGCAATTCTTACCACATAAGTAAAGACACTAATTGAAAATGTAAATTCTGATAATTTTCCTTTTTTTCTCCCCATTTATAAAATGTTGGCCAGACCTACTAAATGGATTTCATGGCCCACAAAGGGAGCTGCCACCACCAATTTCAAAAACTTGCAATGAACGTTCTAATAAAGGGGTTAGAATTGTTGCCTTATATCTATTTGGCTTGACTACATGGGAGATTTTCCAAATATGTTGCATTGCTTTGTTTTGTAATGAAGACATCATTTCAAAAATGGATTTTGACATTTGAATTTTTTCTCATTAAGGCTGTTTATATCACTGGAAAAGAAGTTTTCAGCTTCAAAATCCTTTCTTATGTGAATGCAACTGCTGATTCTGCATACACAGATATGAGTGTGGTTGACATTCAAGTTAATTTAACTGTTGGTTGCATTGAAGTAGTTTTAGTCACAAAATTTTTATATTCTATATTGGTAAGTATGTTAATTGATCTTTTAATTGATTCTTTCCCGCTAGTTGGACATTGTTGTGCATCAACCATACATGAAGAATAAATAATAATTCCTTGCTTGATTTTTACCACCTAATTTTTCATAATTGTTTGAGTACCATTTATTATCACTGAAATGTGTAATACTTTATGTAGTATTATTTTCACATGGGAATATCCAGTTAATTGAAATATATATTTTAGATATTAACATATTAAGTATATGTACATTATATGTCATATATGTCATATATATTAATTGAGTTTTTATCTTATACATCATTGGTTTTTATGTTTTTGCTTTACTTAAGTTTCAACTCTAATGAAAAATACTAAATATATAACTGAAGTTGTTGTCTCAAGTTATTATTTTAAAAATTATATTTTCTATTATGTTATAATTCTGTGACTGGGGCTTTAAGAGCTTTAGATTTAATCTCTGTATGATACACTCTAAGGTATGTGAATTACTTTTCATAGTTTATTTTCCCTTGTGGTTTTTTCATTCTGTCACTTGATGTTTTCTCTGGTGAGTGTCTTACCTGTCTCTATGGCTTCACTATTCATTCTTTTAAAATGCTATCTCTTAGTGTTGGTGTATAAAATGGATGACTAGTTGATTCTAAGTACATAATGTTGCCGTTTTTTATCTTTTTAATTAAGGTTACCATGTAATTTTTCATATACCCATAAATATTTTGTACACCAAAACATAAATATCAACAAATATTTCTTGCCTAATTTCTTTTTTAAAATTCCTAGTTATTTGCTAAATGATTTTTAAAAATATTTTTATTGATTTCAGAGAGGAAGGGAGAGAGAGAGAGAAAAACATCAATAATGAGAGATACTCATTAATTGGCTGCCTCCTGCACACCCACACTGGGGACTGAGCCTGCAACCCTGGCATGTGCCCTTTCCTGGAATCAAACTGTGATCTCCTGGTTCATAGGTCGATGCTCAACCACTGAGCCATGCTGGCCAGGCTCTAATTTCTTTTTAGAACTTGAAAGAATTTTGTCACTGAGCCTGATGTGATACCCTTTTACTACAAAATTACTGAAAATGAAATCTTTTTCTAAGTATGAAAATTAAATGTAACTTTAGGTATATTTTATGTCATTGAGGTGTTTTTTCCAGAATTCAGAAATTAGAAAAGTGTAGCATTCTTAAGGAAATATATTTTAATTTTTTATCTTACAAACATAAAGAAGCTCTCTGCCAGTTGAGTTTGTACGGGGAAACACAATGTAATTGGTTAGCATTTAGGAAAAATGAGACAATGAGGGAACTAGATATCAGTGAAATATTACAATATCCACATGTTACTTGTTCCAGGGACTAGTTTTTCAATGTTCTGCTATATCTTTGTATCTTTATTTTTGTGTTTCTCAATTTTTATGCACAAGATTAAGATTTAATATAGGCAGTCAGACTTCGAATATATACTGCCTGGTTGTACCAAGAAAATTTTTTTCTTATGGAGGTAAAATCATTACCTGCCTTATACATTTAATAAGTCTCATTCATTAATGGTAACCTTGTGAATATAATCCTGTTACCTTTATAGGCTTTCATAGATAATTTTCAAGCAGTTAAAGAAGCCTTGGCTGAGGCAACTGTCCAGGCAGCACAAATGGCTGCTACTGGTGTAAAAGAACTGGCACAAAGGAGTTCTAGAATGGCATTAGATGTTAACATCAAAGCCCCAGTTGTGGTCATCCCACAGTCTCCAGTTTCTGAAAATGTCCTTGTTGCTGATTTTGGGCTGATTACAATGACCAATACATTCCATATGATAACAGAGAGCCAGTGCAATCCCCCACCCATTATTGATTTGATTACGATAAAGCTGAGTGAAATGCGACTATACAGGTAAGCTTCCCCAAAATATATTTTTATAGAGTGGTCATTTTCTAACTTTTTACATCACAGGCTTTGGTATCCCGAGTCTTCTGTTTATAGTATTTTATTTCATTATAACTATACTTAATTTTGTAGAACTCTTCAAGTATTTTTGGTAAGATCAATTATAGTCTTCTAGTTTTTAAAAACTTAGAAATGTATATTTGAAAATTTCTTCTTTAGATAAATTAATTATCTGAGGAAGTATTTGTGCTTATTTGTAGTTTTTGTTGTTGTTAATACTCAAGTGAGGATATTTTTTCCATTGCTTTTTAGAGAGAGAGAGTGGAAGAGAGGGAGGGGGAGGGAAGAGGGAGAGAAAAAGAAAGAGAGAGAGAGAAACATTGATGTGAGAGAGGCACATTAGTTGGATGCCTCCTGCAGGAGCCCAACCAGAGCCGGCATCAAACCTGCAACCCAGGTTTGTGCTCTAACCACTAAGAACACTGACCAGGGCTTCTTATTTATAATTCTTTATAAATTATAAAGTTATGGAATAATTGGAGGAATTCCTAATAGCATACATTTATTCACTTCACAAATACAGCATTATCCAAACTATCAGCTTTGTGCTGTGAATCTGGTGTTCTAGTAAAACAAAACAAAACAAAATATACACAGTAGAATACAACTTTACGAAATCATTGGGCATAGAATTATGAGTTAGGAGAATAAATGAATGTCCAGATATTTCCAGAACTTTTTACTGTGTTTTTGTGCTATTTCTAATCACTACTCTAGATTTAGTGCCCTGTACCTTTTTCAGCTTGGATACATCTCTGTTTATACCTCTCACTTGCCCTCTTCTTTTTCCCTCTCATTTTTCTTTGATCTTATTCTATTTGTTTCTTTTCCTTTATTTTTGCTACTTCTCTTGACTGGCCTCTGCCTGGTCTGTCTCCCTCAATCTGTCTTCTTTCCATCAGTTGAGTACTTTTTTTAGAAAAGCAAGAATTTATTGACTGCAACAAAAACACACTTAACACAGTGAAATATGGAAGGAATAGCAATTGAGTATTTTTAAAGCAGTTTATTGAGATATAATTGACATATAAGCAACACATATCTTCAAAGTGTATAATATGGTAAGTTTTGACATGGATACACTTGTGAAAGTTTGTGTACATTGTAATATTTGTTCTTTAAATATTTGGCAGAATTCACCAGTGAAGCCATCTGGTCCCAGGGTTTACTTGTGGGAGATTTTTAAATACATTTTAAATACATTTTCCATTCTCTTAATAAACTTAGGTCTATTCAAGTTATTTTTTTCTTGTGTGATCTTTTTAAAATTTTTCAAGAAATTTGTCCATTTTGTTCACATTGTAGAATTTTATGGTATAAAGTTGTGTATAATGTTTCCTTCGTATTATTAATATACACAGGGATTTTGCCTCCCTCATTCTTGATATTTATAGTTTATGCCTTTTTACTAATTAGTTTGGTTAGAGGTTATCAGTTTTATTGATTTTAAAGAACCAGCTTTTGGTTTTCTCTCATTTTTTTCTATTTTCTCTTTCATTTATTTCTGCTTTGATATTTATTATTTCCTTCTGCTTATTTTGGATTTAATTTTGCTTTTTCGAAGTTTCTTTACATGTTAACTAATGTTGATTTGAACATTTCTTCTTTTATAATTTACTGTAGGCATTTAGTACTAAAATTTTGGAGTTTTTCTCTGTAGCTCTCTTCTTTCTGGCATTTTACTGTTCGAGCTCTAGCTAGCTGCCTTAGTCACAAGAATTCTCAGTGCCATCTCATGAATTACTGTCCAGTGCTTGATGTCCTATGTCCTTTTATTTCTTTTTAGAACATTTGGCCTTTAATTTGCATTAAAATACGTTTCTTTAAATATTTCAGTTACAAGTTCTAATAGTGAAGACATAGTAGATGCTGCAGGTACTCAGTATTGGCTCCCATCCTTTCCCCCACTCTCTCTCCCAAGCTTTGTTTTTTTCACTCAAGATTCAAATGGGCACTCTGCACTAAATAAATGGCTCCTGGTGCCATTTATTTCAGGTTACACATTGTAAACAAGTGTTCTTTATGCATGCCACGTTTATTGCATTTTGGAACTTTTTGTTGTGGATTTTGCTGTTCAAATTGCTGCCAAGCATATAGTGCCAGTTATAACCATAAAAGATTAAAAGTGGATGAATTGTATGGATGTGAGTTGTCTAAATAATACTATTTAAAAAGCTAAAGGAAAATAATATGTAAATATCAATAATAGGGTAGAACATAACTTTCTAATTTAAGCATTGAAGGAATAAGAAAAATGATAAGGGAAAAATACCAATTGGGTTTGACTGTAAAAGAATGTAATTTTCTGAATATTAATTACCAAAACAAGGTTATAAGGAAAAAAGAATATGGGGTATTAGCATCTTTATCAAAAGATAAAAATCTTTAAATATTTTAAACCAGAAAGAACAAGATAATTTGAAAAATTGGTAAAAAACACAGCTAGATGATTCTTTAAAGGGGCCAATAAATAGCTAATAGAAATGTTCATACACACAAAATTATTGATTTCTACTATTAGTATATAAAATGAAAATTTTACCTTTTTGTTACCATCTGAGTACATATGAAACAATTTGCAACAATTTTCTCTCTCCTTTTAGGTCTCAATATAGTAATGATACATACCAGGAAGTACTGGATATACTACTGCCATTAAATCTTGAGGTGATTGTTGAGCGAAATTTAGCCTGGGAGTGGTTCCAGGAAGTTCCTTGTTTTAATATAAATGCTCAACTAAAGCCTATGGAGGTAATTTTTCAGATACTTGTTGATTCCTCTTTTTTTGGTTAAAAGATATTGCTTGGGGACATATTGCTTGGGTGTAGAAGTTATGTCTTTATTAGTCACCTTTGTCAGAATTGAAATATTAGCTCTTTTAATCTACAATTCATAGAATATTCTCCATTCATTCATTCAACAAATATTTGTGTGCCTACTGTATTAGATATTGGAGATACAGTGGCAGAGAAGCAAGATATTGTCTCTGGCTTTGTGGACTTACCAGTTTGATGCACGGGTTGGTGGTGATGGTAGTCCAGAGGTGTGATAGAGAGTAAAAAGTACACATGTACATTATTAAAATGGTTTTAAATTGTGGCAAATTCTATTAAGGAAACAAATATTGGGATGCTATAAGTAGTCTGTTGGATACATTAACATGGAATTTAGTGGAGAGGTCTAGGCAGGATAGAATTTGATGTTATCAGCAATGAGAACATATGGAATAACCTAGAGAAAATCGTACAAGAATGGAGAGGTTGAAGATGAAAATTGCAAATGGATCAGGACCTTAGGCATAACTTAACCTCGCTATTGGTTGACATTGCTTCACAGATCCCTAATGTACCTATCCACAAATTCATATTGTTCCCTCTTGACTGGATGGAACTATTTCACATGTTTTGCTGAAGTGACAGCAACATATGTTGTGTCTGCAAGGTTTCTTTTCCCAGTCCCCGTCCCCAGTTTCCCTATTTCTTCCTATAAAAATGTATTAAAAAAGAGAAAACAATTATTTTAAAGATTTAAGATTTTTAACTTAAAAGCCTATTTAGAATTTAAAACCTCTCAACTGGAAGAAAAATGTTAAATTCTTAGTATACAGATCATATGGGCATCAACTTATAGATGGCAAGTACCCTCTTAAGATAAATAATTGAAGTCTCTTTGTATTGGTAAGACAACAGATTGAAACTTATAAAAGACTAGAGGCCCAATGCACGAAATTCGTGCAAGAGCCTTGGCCCCAGACCCCGCCTGGGCCTCTGCTGCCTCTACTGCGGCCCCAGCCCGCTGAGGCTTTGTCCGTCTGGAAGGATATATGGTCTAATTAGCATATTATGCTTTTATTATTATAGATAAGTAGCATGCTGAGCAAATCCTCTTCCCATTGGACATAGTCATTAGGCAGATTTATGTGGGGTGGCAGGACACTGTTTTCCTTCACTCTTCCCCAGGATGAATCCATGCAGTATCAGGTAATATTTCAGGTCATCTGCAAATGCCTGACTACTTTCCAGGACTGATGAAATTGGGTCTTTGCTTATCCTTATTCACATGAATAGGCAGCAGTTGTTGTAGACCACCCAGCCTCCCTCCCTGCAGCTTCCCTCTTCACGACCCCCCCCCCCCCCACCAGCTTCCCTGCATTTAGACTAAGAATGCATTTAGACTAAGTACTACAGCTTGTGATTTGTCTTGTCAGATGTTTGGGGATAGCACACAGACTGCCCTGACATGTAAGAGCCATAGAGCAACAATCTGGGGGTTGTTACCGTTTTTCCAACTTCTGCACTGAGCTGTTAGCAAGAGTGAGAGTGATGATTAACATCAAGAATTGGCAGGCATTCAATATACATGTACTAATTGAAAAGTGTTGATTTAGAAATTATATTTTATTTCAGTTTATTAATTTATATGAACATACTGTTTTTGCAATGACTGCTGCATAATAATCACAAAATAAATGTCATGAATAAATATTTTTTTAAAACCTAAGTAGTAGGTATGTACTAAAACAACATAAATAGCATGCGTAAGGTACACATGGATTTAATCTTAAAACACTAGATTAGTATATAGGAATATCTTGTCTTATTGTGCTTTGCTTTTTCATGCTTCACAATTTTTTGCAAATTGAATGGCAAGTGGGCTTAGAGCAGCAAACTTATTGCCACCATTTCCCCAACAATGTTTGCTCACTTCACATCTGTGTCGTATTTTAGTAATTCCCCCAATATTTCATACTTGTCTATTATTATTATATTTGTTTTGGTGATTTGTGGTTAGTCATCTTTGATGTTGTTATTGTTTCTCGGCACCACCAACCACACCCATATAAAACTGTAAACTTAATAGATAAATGTTGTATGTTTTCCGACTCCTCTACCAACTGCCCTGTACAAGCTGGTTTCCCTATCTCTTCCTCTCTTTGGGTCTTCCTATTCCTCGAGACACAGTAATGTTGAAATTAGGCCAATTAATAACCTTACAATGTCCTCTAAGTGTTCAAGTGAAAGAAAAAGTTGCACTTCTTTCATTTGAAATCAAAAGCTAGAAATAATTAAGCATAGTGAGAAAGGCATGTCAAAAGCTAAGATAACCTCTTGCAACAAACAGCCGAATTGTGAATGCAAAGGAAAAGTCCTTGGAGGAAACTAAAAGGACTCCTTTAGTGAACACACAAATGATAAAAAAGCAAAACAGCTTCATTGTGGATATGGAGAAAGTTTTAAGGGTCTGGGTAGAAGATTAAACCAGGTAAAACAGTCTCTTAAGCTAAAGTCTAATCCAAAGCAAACCCCTAACTCTCTCCAATTCTCTGAAGGCTGAGATAGGTGAGGAAGTTGTACAAGAAAATTTTGAAACTAGCAGTGGTTCGTTCCAAAAGTTAAGGAAAAAAATCTGTCTCTGTAACATAAAAGTACAAGGTAAAGCAGCAAATGCTGATGTAGAAGCTGCAGCAAGTTATCCAGAAGATCTAATTAAGATAATTAATGATGGTGGTTACACTCAACAACAGTATAGATGATATGGTCTTATATTGGAAGAAGATATACCATCTAAGACTTTGATAGCTGGAGAGGAGAAGTCAGTGCCTGCCTTTAAAGCTTCAAAGAATAGACTGTCTCTTTTGTTAGGAGATAATGCAACTGCTGACTATAAATGGAAACCAATGCCCATGAACCATTCTTAAAATCCTAGGGCCTTTAAGAAATATGCTAGATCTACTCTGCCTGTGCTCTATAAATGAAACACCAAAACCTGGTGATAGCAATCTGTTTACAACATGGTGTGCTGAATATTTTAAGCCTAGTGTTGAGACCTACAGCTCAGGTAAAAAAAAGATTCCTTTTAAAATATTACTGCTCATTGACAATGCATGTGGTCATCCAAGGCCTCTGATAGAGAGGGACAACAAGATTAATGTTGTTTTTAGACCTATTAGTACTACCTTCTGCAGCCCATGGATCAAGGAGTAATTTTGGCTTTCAAGTCTTATTATTTAAGAAATATATTTTGTAAGACTATCGCTGCAGTAGATAGTGATTCATCTGATGAATCTGGACAGAGTAAATTGGAAACCTCCTGGAAGGATTCACCATTGTTGTTGCCATTAAGAACATTCATGACTCGTGGGAAGAGGTCAAACGTCAACATTAACACAAGTTTGGAAGAAGTTGACGCTAACTCTCATGGTGACTTTGAGGTATTCAGGATATCTGGAGGAAATAACTGCAGATGTGATGGAAATAGCTACAACACTAGAATTAGAAGTGGAGCGTGAAGATACTACTGAATTGCTGCAACCTCACGATAAAACTTTAATGGATGAGGATTTGCTTCTTATGGATGAGCAAAGTAGGGTTTCTTGAGATGGATTCTTCTCCCAGTGAACATTCTGGGAAGATTATTGAAATGACAACAAAGAATTTAGAATATTACATAAACTTAATTGATAAAGCAGTGGCAGGTTTTGAGAAGATTGACACCAATTTTGAAAGAAATTCTGAAGAAATTGGTCATGAAAAAGAATCAATTAATATGGCAGACTTCATTTTATCTAATTTTAAGAAAATTCCATAGCTCCCCCAACCTTCTGCAACCACAACCCTTATCAGTCAGCAGCTATTAACATTGAGGTAAGACCTTCTAATAGCAAAAAAAAATTGTGACTCACTGAAGGTTTAGATGATGGTTAACACTTCTTAGCAATATAGTATTTTTTAAATCAAGTTATGTACGTTGGGTTTTTTTTTTAGCCTTAATGCTTACACTTAATAAACTATTATATAGTGTCAACATAATTTTTATATGTACTGGTAAACCAAAAAATTTGTGTGACTCACTTTATTTTGATAGTCGCTTTATTGCAATTGTCTGGAATCGAATCCACAACAGCTACAAGATATGCCTGTATCGTCTTTTCAGTGCAGTCAAAGAAAACCTGATGAAAATAACATTGTTAATTTTTGTGGAATTAAAATTATCCCCATAAAAAAATTATCCCCTTGAGGTAATTAAACATATCATTATAAAACTCATAGGTCTTTATTTTTATTTTTGCAAAGTGGGTTTTGTATTAGAGTTCTCTGGGGAAATAAAATATGATGTGTGTGTTTGTGTGTATACTTGGCCTGTGTGCATTAGACTGACACTGAGGTCTAGGAGGGGTCAAATGTGGTCACCACGGTGGGCTACAACAGCTGCTTACTACTAAGTGAGTCATGGTAGAGATAGACTCAGTTTCATTCTAGTAGGTCTGCCCCAAAAGGCAGTTGGGCATTTGTAGATGGTCTGCAGCATATATAAGGTGTGTGTGTATGAGTGTAAAATATCTAGGAAAATATTTGACCAAATATATATATACTGTGATCCAACCAAATTGACATAAAATTAACCATCACAACTTTCAGGACAGCTCCTATGCTGGTGATTTTAGGCTAAATTCTCAACACACGAGGTTTTTACTTATTGTGTTGAGTAAGTTTATTAAGTGGACTAAAGCATGATACTAAACCACTTAAGCCTCAACTTCTTAAAAGTCAGGATTATATTCGTGACACCTAATACTTGTGAGGTTCAAATAAAGTAATTCATGTAAAACACATTGTGAACTATTTTTCATCATACAAATGAATTATTTTTTATTCTATATTTAAAGATTTAGCTGTTTATTAACCAAAAAATGACAAAGTAGATGAATATTTAACCAAGTAAGTTTATTTTAAAATTTTGAAATTACTAGTTTATTGGTAAGTTGTAATACAAATAGTTCATTATTCATAGCTTCATTAATATTGTATTTAATCTTGTTCTGTATTTCACAAGGTACTAAAGCTCATGTGCTCATTTAAAACTGAATATTCAGTTAGTAGAAATATCTCATGTGTAAAAATTGGTTTTGTAGAGGATTGAAATGAAACAATTATTTTTATTGTATGTGAATTTTTTACTACATGAAGTAGTAATATTAAAATAAGCAAATCTTATTTTTTTAACAGTTCATTCTTAGTCAAGAAGATATAACAACTATCTTTAAAACATTATATGGTAATATATGGTATGAAGGAGGTGGCGGTGTTCCACCAGCAGGAGTGAAAGATCGGAGTAGTGTTACTGGTGGAGTCACTAACACTTCACATCATTCAGAAGGTATGTTCTTGACCTTAAACT